TAAAACACTGATTGAGTTGACTATATAGACTGTATGCAAATTTGTTTCGCTTGAATCTTTTAATAAAATTTGCCTAGAGGCCGAACGAGCTTGCGTGACAGTTGAATTTGCTCATGGAGTGGGGGAGGAAGTATGCGGTCTTTCTCCACAATGCGTTGCTTTGCGGTAGCAGATTTCCCTTTAGATCGCTAATAAACTATTTCACCAAGAATTTATCTTTCTTGTTACTAACTTTCGAAGAATCGAACATTTCAATTTTATGTTATTAAATTTACCTCATTAGTGCATGTTTTACTTCCCACGTGAACTAAATAAAAATTCTAAATTTGAGAAAGATAATACTTTGCATGTTCCAGCTCTTGGAGAAATGGTAGAGGTTTTTGCTCTTTCGCGAGTATAGTCGCTAGTCCATGTTCGCAAATTTATCATATGAGAATGTCGCGCTATACAAATTACGTAGGGTAGCTCTGTCAATTTAAAACCATCGAGACCTCTTTCCTGTTTTGAACTGATTTGATTGAAAACTTCGGAACAACGATCTTCAAAAACAAAAGAAAACAGGCATATGGCTAAAAGACCCAATCTTGTCCACCCTATGTACCAATTACTGTCACGAACACTTGATCAGCCTGATATGGAAATTTTGGGGTGCTTTGTGAGCAAGTGTAGTTTCAAAACGGTCCTTGGTAAACTGCATGGGAACACATGCTTGAACTAGTTGGCTTTATTGTCAGCCCTTTTATGGTTTCCTTCAGAATTTTCAGAAAAAATTGTATTAACAGTATAAAGAGGACAAATTTTAAAATGTGGGGAATCCAGTTGCCTGCCCCAATTCCCTGTGACACTGAAGACTCGCATTGTAGAATTAAACGTTTTTGATAATCTTAATATCTCAGCTACTCCCTACGTGCTTCTGAAAGCCCATCTGCTTGTCACATGATTCGAAACTCGATCGTTCAATCACTTAGTAACATAAAAGCAAAAGTAACGATTATTAAAGCTGTAACACAACATGTCACACAGTGAAAACATTTCTTACAAAAAGTCAGCTGCGAAGAATTCGTTGACTAATTTCCACCCTGTTTGCACGCGTTTGAGATCGCCAAATTGTGCTTAAGTTGAAAATGGCTTCCATCGTTTTTCTCAGGAATTAACAGATATTTCAAGGAAAAATCTGCATGGCTTACCAAAGGCTATCTATATGCAAAAGACGAGTGAATTTGATTTTTTTCAGCTTTGCCGAAGATTTGCGATTTTGTTTGATTCTTGCACGGATCTGCTCTTAAGCTGGTACGCATGTATGCAGTATATTCCCTTGAAGGGTTGCCTGCTCCGTGTTTACAGTCCATCATGATTTTTTTTTTATAGAAAAGTGAGAAGGAAAATACATATAAATCATGGAATAAAGATTATAGATATTGTGTTGTATGACCAAATAATATTATCCGGGCGATAACATTATTTGGTATAGCATAACATCTCATCGGTTCGGAATCCATCCGAAAGCTAACCGCGTATGTGCATATGTGCATCAGTTCATACCGTCACGAATAACAGAGAGAAAGGAAGAAGGATGAGGGGAAAAAGAATCTTGAGTTGAATTTTTTCCTTTAAGTTTAGTGTAAAGTTCCGTTGAAAATGCCTGACCCTGACGACCTCAATCCCGTCGGCAAAGCTTTTTAAGGAACATTCCAAAAATATCCAACACAATACACCCCTGCTTTATCCTAATTATACCAGAACACTAAGCAACGCCGTTAATCATCTAGAGCTAATTATATAAATGAAGAGCTAAAGTAAGAATTTGAATTTTTTTTTTCTTATTCTAAATTTCGCTATTCGCTTATTCTTGATTAAAAATAACTTTTTTTAATCAATTATTACAGTTTACTTGAGGCGTGAACTCTCGCCAAACTTCCGCTGTTTCCTCCAAGGCACACCTTTGACTGACCGGAAATTGCGTCATAATGTTAATTAGTCGTCGAAGCGCAACTTTCACTTTTGTGGCGTCCTAATTCATTACATTGAACAATGATTGTAGAGAAGATGTACGTACTGTTACTTCTTGGAGTATATTTGTTACTGAAAAGAATAGGTAAGCGTGAAAGAAATCATTGATAATTCTAAAATTCTTAAAGCATGATCATGTACTTACGAGCTTTAAAAATTACGGGTATTTATTATTTGGTTATTGTCGATGGCGGCGTTTGATTATTGATTTATTCTGATCGGCAAACCAGCCCAGCACTTTACCCTCGAATTTAATCGGGAGAGGCTGAGTTCCTGAGAGAAAAACTCTCGGAATAGTACACGTTTTGATCGACTACAACAAAGATTTTTTTAGATTTGAAAGTCGAGCGACGGACGAGGATGTCGTAATTTGCATTGAGAAGGAAGTGCTGGTTTGCGTGTTTAAACCGATTGCTGAAGTTCAAATTTAACTATACTGTATGAAGTTGGTTACATTATCAATTTCAATAACCCAACATCCTCTACTAGCTTTCATACAGGTGTAGGTGTAAAGCTGTTTGCCTTGTTTACGTCGCAACATTAGTCTGATCGAAAATCGAGAAACAATTGTATACTGTATAGCGTGACCAACTGACGTGACGGTAGCCGGAGTAAGGCATGCGATCTGTAACGCAACCCAGCCGTGTTGCATTGGGAAATTGGTGGATTTTTACAATGTACTGACTTTTAACGTACATCACTGTTTCTTGTATATTACAATCCTTGCTTATTCAAGTGGAAACCAAGTAAATTAGAAAGATACGGGAAAAATTTAGATAATTTGACTTTTAGCCCCCGTCTTTCATCAGGTGTGACTTAAATTGAAGGAGGTTGAAGTATGGTCGCCATTCCCCAGCTCTTTCTTCTGCGTAAAAGAGGTCTGCTTCATATTGGAGCCGCCTCTTCGAAACTTTTCCGCACTGCCGACAATTAACTTAGATAAACAAAGAAACAAAAATAAGCGAATAAATCAAAATTACTATCCTTTGTGAAAAATCTATGATTAATAACAGCCGGCCATTAATGTGATGTCGACGATTGTGATAATGATGATAAGGGGGAGAAGGAGATAAACGAGGGGAGTGATGATACTGATGATAACGACTGCCTCCAAGAAATATCAAAGTTGATTTTCGGCAAGTAACAGGTAACCCAATAAACAATTCACTCAGACACACACAGACACACTTCACGGCCATTAATTATTAGTCTAACTTCTATGTAATTGTATTACTATAGATGGCGAGAGGCTATGTTCGTGTTATACCTTCAGCAAAGACCAATGGTTATGGACACAGGCAAGGGACAACTGTAAACGCAACAATAAAATACTCGCAGTGATAGAATCAGTGCAGGAATGGCAATTTATTACAAATGGGATTCAAAATAAAACAGGCACCATATCTGGTGAATGGTACATTGGTTTGAAAAAAAATTTAACAACGCAGAGATGGAATTGGATCAATGGTAAACCTTTGACCATTGACAAATGGCATGATAAAGGCATAAATCCTGACCCAAAGGACTCTTACGGGGTGATTCATGAGGATTATCCACCTGGATTCAAAGGATCACTCAGCACCGTTACGGGCGACCAACCAAGAGGATGGATTTGCGAGGAAGAAACAGGTATTGATCAGTAACAGAAAACGTAAAATTTTAGCTGTTTTAAAAGTTGTTGTTATGCACAAGTTTGAATTTTCCAAAGGCAACTCTCATGACTCCTTTCTCGGTTCCTTATCTTTCCTATCCTCACCCTGCTCTTTCCGAAGCCTATTGCGACCACCTTACCACTGATAGCTCATCACTATCAGGGGAGCAAACCCTGTAGCCCTAGCCGCATATACACTTTGAAGTTTTTTGAGTTATAGGGACGTGGCGTAGAAAAGTTTTTCCCGACTAGAGGTATTGAGTTCGCCACACTGCCTTGTAATCGGGATATTACTCAACCAATGTATAGTGGTAATGACAGTAGTTATATTACTTTAACAGCTACCTGTAAAGGAATTTGTTTCCACCATCCTGTTCCGACCAGCCTTGTTCGTTTGTAAACCGGCTGGAAGTTTGGATGAAGTATAATCTGCATAGTGTTAACAACCAGGAGCAGTATTAAGGATTAGTAAAACACGATTTAATGTTAAGTATTACTGCTTAAAATTTAGGGTCTTCAACAACTGTCTCCACCCCTACCACGGCGAAATCAACAGACAAAGTCCCCTTGGATGACAAGGGAAGTGCTTCCCCCACAATAATGATTGTAGCGGCATCTTTAGGCGCAGTGTTATTCGTGTCCTTGATCATTCTTGTTGCAGTCATACTTCTAAGGCGTAAAAAACGTCAAGGAAAAGGTAAAGAGTCTCTAAGCGTTGTAAACATTAAACCGTTATTATTATTTTCCAAACGAAAAAAGTTGTAATGATATGCTTAAGATTGAACCTCTTCCCTCGAGGAGCCAGCAAATTGCGAACCTTCTTTCTCTCAGCGACATTCATTGACTCGATGAAAATAGAACTTAAGGTTGACCACACACGTATAACAAAAAGTCAAAACAAAATTTTTCAAATGATATTTAGTTTTAATCCAATCCTTGGCTTATGCAGTCGAATATAACTGCAGTTCCAACGTAACGTACATGTATGCCTGGAATTAGTGTAATTGATATCTCAAAACTTCATATCAAAAGTCAATAACTATTTAATTCCCAACAATTCTATCCTTTGTCGACTCCGTGCTTATCAGCGAGATAGAATTGAAAACCAACTTTGAATACGTAATAACTAGGTTGGTAAATTTTGGAACTATAGGTTTCCCACCGATCATTGGTAAAATACCATAAGATGATAGGCTGCACTTATAATTTATGTCTACCATATCAGAAATATTTTTTGTCGAAGCCGCTATTTCTGTTTGCTAAGAAAAATTAAAGTCTGCTTTTTATGCGTTGTTTACCAAGGCGATGTTTCCTAGAGAAAAGTGTTTTTTTTTTTAGATGCAGAAAGTGCACCGCCGAAAAACCACTCGCTAAAGATGTCAGCACCGAAGAAGTCGGTATTCATTTTTGTTTATTTATTTGTTTGTTTGTTTTTCTGAAATGTTTTGAGTCTCTGAAAACACATCATTATCAAAATAATAAGAAAGCCGAGTAGTACACATTGAATAAGTGGGTAGACTGGTGAGGTAAGTTAAGCATAAGAGCAACAGCATGATAGTTCTGTTCAGATTGTTTGAGACTGTAATAAATGATCGTCCCGTACACGTCCATGAATTCCTTGTCAGTTGCCTAAACTTCATTAAACAATATCACCTGCAATGGAAAAGGTTTTGAGAATGATACCCAAACAGCATCTATCACTGTTAATGATAAGCAAAACTACTCCTCCCTCCCCCCCCTCTTTTAATCCCCGAGCATAACAGAAAATGAGGGAAATATTAGTTTTAAACTAAACCTTAATTATTTCTTTCAATAAAGCAGCGAGAAAGACCAATTTGGAGAGAGCCAATATGAATCTGTGAATCCCGTTGAAGCCGCAAAGCTCCTTGGGTCAGCAAACAGCACCCCTGATAAGAGTGAGACTAAGTTCGATTCGCCACCAGAATATTGTGAATAGGCCGTTGTCAACAAGGCAAACAAGAAGGTGATATTTTAGCTTTTGACGTCATGACGTAATTTAAATCATTCAGTGTATTTTTAAGTAATTTTCCACCAGAACGATAAACTCTTGTCGACATGACATGTTCAGCAGATATAAATGGACGGATTCATGTGTGAATTCAAGCGGATTGAATGTAATTGTGCATATGACTAAACCTAAGGAACGAGAGAATATGGATTAGAAATTGTTATCTACGCGAGACATCTAGATATTGATGTTGGCTAGATCTTGGCTCTTTGGAAAGAAATTCTGTTGCATGTGGCGTCAGACCGAAAAAAAAAAAAACATAGAGATGTGTGAGGAAACAAATTTCCATATAAAGACTTTTAGTGTAGCAGCATGCGTCATTGGTGCACAGACGTAGAAAGGATGACCGCTGATTTGTTCTTCACTTCAACTGAATTTGGCTAAGCGAAACAGACTTACGTAGTGCCCACCTTGATGGTTTATTGTTATCAGTTCGTGTGTTTTACGGCAAAAAACGAAGTGCTCAAAAGACGTGCATTCATTGCTGCCTTATCTCCTACATTGACTAATTATCATTTTTATTTTCATTCAAGCGAAAGGAGGGAGACCTTGTGTACGCTCAACTCGCCGATTTTGACAATGAAACTGACTCCGCCAAACCACCAAAACCACCCAGCTATGAGCCCACGATATATGCTGATGTTGAAGAACTGCCTCCAGAGTTGCCTGGAAGAGAGGATCCAGACTTCCCACAGCCAACGTATGCGAATCTGGAAACGACTGGTGTCTGAATGAAATAAGAAATGAAATAAATGTATGTTTATTTCCAGTTTAGAATGATATATAAATGCATTTGAATTAAGTTTCCGCTAGAGTGTAACGAGGAAAAGTCTTGATATAATTTTCTTCAGTTACTTAAGATAACATTTATTAACGGTAAAGATAAGTCTCATTATAATTTTTAAGCATAAATGTTTAGGGTTTAAGAAAGATGTTGTATGAGAGAAATCTTTGTCTCTTACCTAGCTTGTAGGAATAAAGTAACATGCTGTCTGCATCTTGCAACTTATACAGATTGATAGATTGAATTTGTATTGTATCTGTAGTAAATTATTATTTTCCACAAACGCGTTGGACACAAGTTGGCGCCCATCCACTTGTGTTGTGCAAACGAGAGCGAATGGATATCTTTCCTGTTACGGGTGATCTATCATGGTGTCTGGGCCAATAGAAGTTTTAAAAGAGTATTGTTTTAAGACTGTATTAAAGTGTCAATAGTATTTAGCTTGAAGAAAACTAATTAGGGACACCGTTTACGTATTACAATCTACGTAAGCTACATAGAGTTAAAATTATTTACAGTTCAATTCCTAATGTATAGAATAGA